CTCCTCGCTCCCTCCCTCTCCTCACCCTGACCACTCCCCCCTCTTCGCTCACTCCCTCCCCTCCCCCTGACCATTTCCCCCCTCCTCACCCCCTCCCTTCCCTCCCCTCACCCTGACCATTCCCCCCCTCCTCGCCCCCTCCCTCCCCTCCCCTCACCCTGACCATTCCCCCCCCTCCTCGCTCCCTCCCTTCCCTCCCCTCACCCTGACCATCTCCCCCCAATGCTCGGGTCCTGACCCAACTGTCCGGCGCCTCGGGACCTCCTCCCGACGTGAAAGGCGCTATATCAAATGCAAGGATTATTATTATTATTATTATTATTATTATCCACATTATCCTCAGATCAAGTGTAGAAACCGATCAAAGTTCCCTCCCGACAATAAACGCCAAGTTATTTGAGGAGCGGCAATAATAAAAATGATCAAAGGTGCTTTGTTACACAGAAGGATTGGTAATGATTAACTCGAAGAAAAAAAAAGGAGGAGGAGTGGGGGGGTGGGGTAGGGCGGCTGGAAGAAACATGGACTCCCAAAAGCTTTGCCCCGATCCTATAATTTGGCTCCGCAGCCCTGAACGGGTGCCTCAGGGGTTTAGAAGACTTTTTGGGGGGTGGGGGTGTGGGGGGAGAGGGGGTGTGGGGTGGTTGGGGGGGGGGATCAGCCGGGTGTCTGACGTTTGCGGAAACCCATCGCCGTCATTTCGGAATGGAATGCGCTCTCTCTCTTCACCTGATTCTGGAGAGTATTAGGCGCAGGTTGGTTGGCGGGAGTCGAGGCTTTGGGGGAGTGGGGTATCGGGTGGGGGGGGAGTCCAGAGTGTGCATTCGGGGGCAACAGCTGGAGTCTAACCAACTAAACCCACACACAGCTCGGCCATCGAGAGAGAGAGAGAGAGAGAGAGCGAGTGCCGTCTGGCCAAGCTTTCCCGGCTCGGACCCCACTCCCCCATTAGTTAGTTAGTTGGGGCTTTGGCTGTGGGGGTAACGGGAGCCGAGGGGGGAGGATTCCCTGCCCCCCCCCCCCGGTGACTGGTCGGCCCTTCCAGGTCCTGCCGACGGGCCCGGGGCCGGGCTTGGGCTGTGCCGTCATCAGCCTTTGGAAGCACGAGGAACTGGGGCTGGTTCTGCACAAACCAGAAGAGCAGATGTCAACACGTTTTATGGCCAACCACCTGACAGTCAGACAGTTAGTCAGTCAGTCGACCGCGGCATTTCCGTTCAAGTGTGTTCCCCTTTCCACCCCCCAACCCCACCCCACCCCCCCCCCCCCCCCGCCGTCCTCCTCCTCCCCCACTGTGTGTGTCTCCTCCTCCGCCCCCACTGTGTGTGTGTCTCATGATCAAAGGCCACAGTGAATCACTGGGGGAAGGAGTGAGTGAATCTATAGACGGGTTCAAACACGAAGCTCTCACAAGACACCCCCCACCCCCCCCCGCGCGCCCCCCCACCCCCCACTCTCGCTCTCTCCCCCCTCTCCCCGTCTCTCTCTCTCTCCCCCCTTGCCCTGTAGCTCGGTCGTTAAGAGTCACCGCCGCGCAAGCGAGGACGACACGGGTCTGATCCCCGGGCGGGTCGGGGGCAAAACCTCAGGCAGGTTTCCTTACTCCCCCCCCAACCCCCCACCCACACCCACGCAACACACACGTGCGCGCGCGCGCGCAGACACACGCCTGGTTGCCCGGAACACCGCCGCGCGCACTTGGCCGCCGCGTTGCGCCCGCGGAGCCCATCCACCTCAGCGGCGTTACCCGCGAAGCGCTTCGAGGCGTCGTCTCGCCCCAACCGCTCACCCCCCCCCCTTTCCATCCCTCCACAGCCGCCGGTGGGTCAACGGCACCACCCGGTCTTCCGGGGAGAGAATTCCCAGCAGACGTAGTCCCGTCGGGGGAGGGCACCGACGCTCTTCCCGAACGATAATCACAACCGCGTTGCCCCGACCAAGCGGGAACTGGGTCGGCCGCGCGATCAGCGGGGAGTAAGAATTCCTCCCGACTTCTCCCGTGGGAGCGCTTCGAGGCGCCTCGGAAGACGCCGGTCATCAAGCACGAGGGGGAGGTGGTGGGGGTGGGGGGTGGTCACGCAAGCGGGACCGTCCGTCCCCGACCGAACGGGTCGGGAAGAAGGGGAAGGAAGGCAAGCAGCCATCTTGAGAAACACCAGGAGGGAGTACACGCGGGTGACCGGCCGGTTCAGGCCACCATTTTGTGTGGGCCTTTTGCTCCCTTTCCCCCCCACTTCCACCATTTCGAAAGCGAAAAGGAAAGGAAAGACCGGATTTGGGGAAGTTCGACCGAAAAAAAATAAGACCGAACTAATTTCCTCCGGGGTTTCGGCAGAGGACGTCGGTCTCTCTCGCTCTCTCTCTCTCGCGCGCGCTCTGGATTCGGGGAGCGCTCGGAGACCAAAGGGGCCCCCGACGGTCGCGAGTCGCGTCCGGAGGCCAAAAGCACTCGACGCCATCGCCTCCGAACGCGATTGGGGGGGGGGGGGGAACGACACACGACCCCCCCCCCCCGAGCGTCCGCGAGACAGCGCCGCGCGCGCAACTAACCGGCTGCCGCGTTTCGCCCCCACCCCAACGCCCGCCCGCCCGGCGCTAAACCCCTTATTCCGCGAAAGGTCTCGGCCGCGCAACGACAAGGAGTTGCGTCAAAACTCGACCATTATTATTATTTTCTTCGTGGGGGGGGGGGACGACGGGAGGCGAGGAGCGAGTCAGTAAGGAAATAAAACACGCGGCGCCAGACGGAAACGCGCCGCGAATCAACTCGGCCCCGCAGGTCAATCCGGTGAAGGTTTCGCCCCTCCGCAGAGGGGTGTGGGTGGGGTGGGGTGTGGAGGGGGGGGAAGGTTTTCTTTTTAATGCCCATCGACCGACAAACACATCACTTTAAAGTGCGACATTGAAAATCCGGGTGCATTTGTTTCTTTTTATTATTATATTTAAAAAATACATGGCAGGACACCACCCCGCGAGAAACGTACAAGACTTCCGCTGAAAACACTCGGGGTTATTTTATTCATGCTTTAACGGAATAGGGAAGTATAATCGACAGGCGAGAATCAAGCCCCACGGTCACCCCCACCCCACCACCCCCCCCCACACAAAAAAACATCCTCGTATTCAGAACGGCCCGACCCGAACGGAAAAGAAACGGTTCTCGTCCGTTCAAAGACGGGCGAGTCAGGAGCTGTAGACATCTTAGGACACACATACACACACACACACACACACCCGCACGCACGCACACCCCCTGGGAGTCTCCCCAACGCTCGCATCCTCTGCACCTTAACCAGCAACTATGTACAACTCAAGTTATGTCTCATAGGAATCCATGTTAATTAATTGCAATCCCTGGACCCCCCCCCCCACCCCAACCCGAGGAGGAGGAGGGGGTGGGGTGGGGTGGGGGTAGGTGGTCATGTCTTAAATGCACCAAACCCCCGGCTGAATAAACCAACCAACCGACCGACCGGGGATTGCAATCTCGCACAGAGAAAGCACCACAGAAGGCAAAGCCAAATCGAATGCAACGTCTCGCGGTCAACCTCTACCCACGGACGCTCCGCTCCCGCTGTTTTTGCGACGGGAGGGCCGGACAAAACAAAACAAAAAGGCTGCGAACACACCAATCGCTGCGTAGCTCGCCGCTGCACCCGGGGTGGGGTGGGGTGGGGGGGGGGTGGGGGTGCGCGCGAGCCACGCGCACACACACGCACACAAAAAAAAAAAAGGACAATAAAAAGGTTTTCGGATCTGAACAAGTCCACCCTGGAACGGCCGAAGAGATTTCCAGGACAGTGCGGGTAAACAAATACAAATTTATTGAACAGCATTTAATAAATACTATACAGACAATGCAAGATTTGTACACTTTCGCCACCCCCCCCCCACCCATGATCAGCACACACATCCCAAGAATTACCGCACAACACTCCACACTCTGAATAATCTCCCCCCCCCCCCCCCACCACCCCCCAGAACATGATCCTGAAGTAGGTCGGCTTAACGTAGTTAGCAGACTTCAAACAACGTCGATACTTCCTAGTCCGCAAATACATGGTTACATGATAAAGAATATCTAACGAGACTAATCCTAAAAGAGGGCTGGGTGTGAAAAAGTTGGCACCCAGAAACTTTAATGACCCCATAAGTACTTCTTTTTCCCCCCGCCCCACCCCCACGATACCAGTCCGGCACCCCCCCGGAGGGAAGGCCGAGGAATGCTTTGAAGAGCAAGCTGACCACAGAGGCTGCTGTCGTCAACACGATCGGTTCGGAGCATCCAGCCGATACCCAACACCGAATTCTAGTTTTGTTTTTTTTGTTTTGCTTTTTAAAAAAAACCTGCGACCGCAAAAATAAGTCAGCAATCACAGCATAACCTTCGAAAAGTTCGCAAACGGAATTAGATCAGGTCGGCCACGTTCATCGGCATCTCGTCCACAGTAGTGTTGTAGAAAGACTCGATGTCGCGAAGAATTCGCTTGTCTTCCTCGGTGATTAAGTTAATGGCAACACCTTTGCGTCCAAAGCGACCTCCGCGACCAATTCTGAGGGGGGGGGGGGGGACAGGAAACGAGACTTGAGTGCACTGGGGCTGGGCAGAGAGAGGAGGGGACCCTGGCCTGAGGCAGGGTCCAGGGAGAGACAGTAAATAAGACAGGACAGGAGGGTCACTCACCGGTGAATATAGTTCTCACGGTTTGTAGGCAAATCATAGTTGATAACCAGAGAAACCTGCTGCACGTCAATCCCACGGGCCTGAAAGCAACGACAGCCATTACGTTTGCGGTCGGTTGCCCACGGCACACAAGTAATTAGACGGTTAAGGGGGGGGGGGGGGGAAAAAGCTGCACAATCTGCATTTCCGCAGAACCCTTCGATGCAGAGTGTCACCCCCCGAGCGCTTGACAGCGACTGAGCGCGACACGGTCGAGTGAGTGCGCGCGGGTGCGACCGCAGAGGAAGTGCTCTGGGGCGCTACCCTGCACGAGACGCGCGATTAAAGACTCGAGGAAGGAAAGGGCGAGGCGGAGGGAGGGAGGGAGGGAGAGTTCCAGAGATTACCAGCTCCGTACCGAAAGGATGCAAGTCAAGTGGTTGTTTGGCCTTGTGCACCTTAACTCACCAGCAAGTCAGTAGTGATCAGAACACGACTGGATCCTGATCGGAATTCCCTCATAATAAGATCTCGCTCCTTCTGATCCATGTCACCGTGCTGCAACATTCAAACACGGCGAGTTATTGCAAGCCACGGACAATTTTAGCGTGGGAAAGGAGAAACGCCGCCCACACGTAGGTATATGCGCGGACTCTCAGCATTCACAGGTAAGGCTACGCTGGGGGTGCGAATGTGTACTCAAACCTTGACACAAAACACAGCGCTATAAAGACGGGGGAAACAAATGGAACACTTAACACCCGCAACCTCCCTTCGAAAGCCGCACGAAGCGCAGAATATTCGTGCTCGCAACACTGGGCCGCCCGTATCTCGACACGATTACATTACGTCTACATCTCAGATGCAACGGCCATTGAAAAGGTCACCAGTTCAGCCCGTCACTAAGAAGCAAATGATTTCAGCAGGTGCCGTACTAACTGCACGCTCAGCCGGCGGTCAGACAGAAGGCCACGAGCAGCGACTGCTGTAACAAGCGTTTCTTTGGTGTTAGCTGTACTCACCAGAGCAGACACAGTGAAATCCCGGGCGTGCATTTTCTCAGTCAGCCAATCCACCTTTCTCCTGGTGTTGATGAAGATGACAGCCTGTGTGATGGTGAGAGTCTCATACAGATCACACAGAGTGTCCAGCTTCCACTCCTGAGGAGGAACATAAAACATAAAGCAATCGATAAGCACTGCACAGATAAAAAATATTACACTGGAATTAAGATTTGTGGAACGCATGTAAACTGTTTTATAGTAGTGAAAGCCCAGTTAGATGGCAATCACAGTGGAGAACAGACCGTTCCTCTACCACAGAACCGAAACCCAGTGAAGTACAAAGACTTCGTGGAAAAGAAAGTTCTCTGGAAACACCCACTTCGGGTCTTCGCTCGAATCCCAGTTCCGCAATAAGGTCAGTGCCGGGTACATTCTGCGCTGTTACCCCAGACCCCAGTACACACGGCACCCGGAGACCAGCCTCACCTCTCTCTCTACATTGATGTAGAATTGACGGATACCCTCCAGGGTCAACTCCTCTTTCTTCACAAGAATACGAATGGGTTCACGCATGAACTTCTTAGTCACTTCCAGCACATCGACCGGCATCGTAGCAGACAGCAAAACCACCTGTGTAAAACACTCTAAATGAGTTGCACACGACAATAACGTCAAATGTGCAGAGCGAAAGCAGACGCCATGCAACTAAAAGGCTCTGGGCAGACGTATCAAGTCTGAACAGCAGGTTGACTTGACTGTGCATCCAACCACAAATTGCCTTTACACAGCACCCCTCCTGCGGGGTAGAGACCCAGAGCAATCGACAGTGTCGGGGTACGGTGCCACGCCGAGGGGAGGGAGGACTGGTGCGATGTCAACAACCACATCTCCAAGCAGAAGCACTGGACATTAAGAAAGAGGTCCGCAGCTGCATTCTCGATGGGCGACTATGTATTCTACGTCCCACAAATCCTACTGTCACCGATGAGAAATTCAGAAATTTCCAAAGTTCTCAACTCCAGCAAGACACTTGAATAGGACGTGGGCTTTAGCTCGTACCGAAGAGCCGTTTGATAGACTTAATGGAACTTGAGCACTCAAGTGAATTGGCAAAAAAAAAAAACAATCACAGCACTTGATAAACTGGTTCTATCACCTGGTCTCCAGTTGCCCTTTAGCAATTGCCTATCAAATTGTCCCTTAAAAAAAATCATCTGGTCAGTCAATCCACGACGGTTTGTGGGACACTGCTGTGAGCGAGAGGCTGCCGTGTTTCACCCACAAAATAATAACTCTACTTTGTTGTGTGAGACATCGAGAAGACAGGATAACGACTATTATCAAATGCAAGGAATATTATGATCATCAGCCCCCCCCCTTCGTTAGGCATCCCACACAAGTTTGCCCAATAATTAAATCAAATTGATTTGAAGCGACTGTACATGGTATCAAACAAAGCCTCACCTGGATGGTGGAGTTCAATTTCTGGAATATCTCATAAATCTGATCCTTGAACCCTCGGCTCAACATCTCATCGGCTTCGTCCAGAACAAATATTTTGATGTACCGCGGAGCTGAAACAAAAGATCAATCAAACGAGCTCTCGCAGAGCGGAAACGAGACAAGAATCTGCAATCACAAGCATCTCTGACCGCAAGGTGGAACCGGGCCAGAAATCCTCACAGTTGGGTCAACTGTTCCGACACGCAAAGCAGTGCGGCAGTGAACTCGCCCCTCAAACATCAGGGAAGCATCACTGCGAATCAGTCGCACCCGCCCGCGCCCCCTCACTTTCGAGCCAGCGCCAAATTTAGTAGCAGCCCAGCAGAACATGTCTGATGTCAGGAGTCTGGCATTTACTGGCTGGTCCACACGCTCCAGAGGAAATACCCACTTATGGGAAACGTGTCGACTCAAGTTAAAAAAAAATCCCAGTCAACTGGTGATCATAGTGGTGTAAAGATCGCTCCTCGAGAAACAGGAGGCCATTCAGCCCCTTGAGCCTGTTCCGCCATTCTATTAGATTCTGGCTGATTTGTACCTCAAATCCAATCACCCACATCCCTCGATGCCCAACTACCTATCTCAGTCTTGAAAATATAAATGGATCCAGCCATAGCCCACAGCCTCTTTGAGAGAGACTTCCAGATTACCACTATCCTTTGTGTGAATTTTTCTCCCCTGATTTCACATCTAAATGGCTTAGCTCTAATTAAAACCCACTGAAGCATAGAAAAATGAAACTCCCTGGAGACGAGCCACTTACGTCTGCATTTGATCCACCCAACAAGTCAGTGAGGGAAGCAGTAATCATTGGTAAAGAAAAATACAAAATCCCCACCCCCGCCATGTACACCAAGTGTACATTAATGCAGACCGTCTATTGTCCTTTCACAAACGCTGATCAACTGGGACGATTCTGGCCTCGACTACTCAAAGGGCAAGAGGTAAAGTCCTGATACTCACAGAGATACTTGCGGTTCATCATGTCAAACACACGCCCTGGAGTTCCGACCACAATGTGGGGAGCAGACGAGTGCAGCTTCTGGAGTTCCTGTCGGATGCTGGTGCCACCAATGCAGGCATGGCAAGTGCCTCCCATGTAGTCTCCCAAAGCCAAGATTACCTTCTGAATCTGAAATCAGGAACAACGCACAGTGTCAGAATCCTGACATAAATACATAATAATCCTTATATCTGAGTAGATTGAGTGACCAGAGCAATACATCTGTTTTTCTTGGAAGGGATCACTGGCCCCAGAAAAATGATCTGCCAATCAACTAACAAACGACCCACTTTCCTTTCTCCGTAGATCCTGCTGCGGAGTGTTCCCAGTGACTGCTGTTTTGTTTCAGATTTCCAGAACCTGCAATATTGCGCGTGTTGAACTAACAACCGGGTTCTTAAGTTACTGCCAAGTAAACCGAGGCAGGTGTGAGGTAAGCAAACTTGCCCAATGCTTCCCCCTGTCCGGGAATCGAACCTGGGTCCTCTCATTTGCTAACACTGTGCGACAGGACAAGTCATTTACCGGAGTCAATAATCGATTGCTACTTGTGGGTCTGGAGGAAATAAGAAAGCTTTCTCCTTTACAAAGACCTTTGCGATTGTTGCATGAGGAATTTTACCTGCTGAGCCAGCTCTCTGGTGGGAGCAAGAACCAAGGCCTGGGTCTCCTGCATATCCATCTCCAGCTGCTGCAGAATAGAGATGGCAAACGTGGCAGTCTTGCCTGTACCAGACTGGGCTTGGGCAATGACATCAAAGCCTAGGAGCAAACATCAACATCAATAATCACAAGGACGCAACTAACTCATCACCTCCAAGATATCCGAGTCGCGTGTGATCTGTGCCCACAGCATGAACCAACACACATTCACTGGTAGAATAAGGCTGGGATGAATATGGGACAGTTATTATACCCCGTGTCAGATTAAGATACAGCACCACATTGAGGTACATCTCCGCCCAGGTGACAGGGGATAAGAGACAAAGAGCACATGTTCCAGTCAGCAAGGAATATATCAGATCCTCTCATGAATTCAATTCACAAATTTAGTAAAATATTGCCGGTTACAATAATGCGACCATTTTGCAACTGCAGCTAAAACCCGGAAGCAAGAGTCCAAAGATAGTAGAGGGTTAAAGTCTCTTCCAATCTGCCAATGCGCTTGAGCTTTGCGCACAATTAAGACTTAACAGCCACACTGCCCTGTTCCTGATTTCCAGATCAGCGATCATTCAAACTGCCATCGTTCACATGACCTACCCTTGATGCAGGGAAGAATGGCCCGCTGCTGGATAGCAGACGGCTTCTCAAAACCATAAGCATAGATCCCACGCAGGAGGTTCTCACGAAGGCTCATGTCATCAAAGTTGTCGACAATCTCGTTCCAGTTGCTCTGCAAAAAAGTTCGAAAAGCGAATTTCAGTTCTATTCCTCACCCAACAGGGTAGCTCAGGTATCCATACCCTGCAATGACATCGGACCCCAACTTGAATTTCCACCTAATCCCCAATCTCTCCAGTCCGCTAAGCATTTTGCCTGTCACACACTGGCCTGATGCTTCAGGGAATGGTTACTTCTGTTTACAAGAGATAGCCAGCTGTGTAAAACAGGCCACAATGTGGCTGATTTGCATCCTCCCCCATGACACTGCCCGAGGGCAGGGCAGGATAACCTTGAACAGGAACTGTCAACACAGGCTGAAACCTGCAGGAACAGAGCATTGGTAACAAAACCAGCCCTTTAAAAAAATATAGAGGCGCTAAATCACCACAGTGAAAACCCACTGAATAAACTTCAAGGCTAATTCTGGCATCGGTCGACCATGATCTCTCAGCCACTGTGAAAGCAAAATTCCAAGCAGCTAAGCTACCCCACCGTGGGCGTGACCCTGCCACTGAAAGGCCAGGGGTAAACATTGCATTCCCTCAGGGCGAGGCCTGGGTCAGACTGTATTTATAGTGCAGAGCTCCTTTATACCATTCCGGAAAAATTCCACACAATAAAATACTCACCCAAACTGCACAATGGATTCCCTCAGCATCCAGTAAACCTCCTCACTCCCCCCCCCCCCCCACCTACCAAAACACCAGAGGTTTTACTCACTTCAATGATGCCTTCAGGTTCCATCCCTTCGGGTCCACTTGATCCACTAGGCCCCCCATGACCTTTACTTCTGGTGCAAAAGAAACTGGCATTAACCATCAGAGGCCGCAGAACAGACAACAAAAGAGACCAACATTGGCTGGGAGTTGGAACAGGGCGAGGGAACGTAGGAACGGGAGGCCATTCAGCCCCTCGAGCCTGTTCCGCCATGCCATTTGATCACGGCCAATCTCAAGCCCAGTCACGTAGTCACCTCAGCCTGGAAACATGAACAGATGCAGCCATAATCCAGCCCCGTTTTGTTCGGGGGTGGGGCTGGAGTTTGGGTTTAAACTCGGGTTAGCCTTTAGGATCATCAGATTATGATTAATAACAGCCTCGGGGGTGCTGTGTGGGGGGGGCGGAGAGATCAGATGAATGGCCTTCTCTTTGTAAATGAAACAAAATTCCCGTGGATTGACTCACTCGGTGACTAACGTTACACTCGGGGGGGGGGGGGGGTCAGGACATCCTCCGCAACGGAATCCATTGTCAAGGGGAGAGAGAGACTGACTCAGAGACTGAAAACCGCAATCACGGTCAGTCAGTCAGTCAGAGTGGCGGCGCTAGGACCCCGCAGTGCCGGCTGAGCGGAGGCTGTGGAACAATGCGGGGCTGGTGGGGGGGGGGGGGGGGAAGAGAGAGAGGGCTCAGACGCATGCGCGCGGCCGGGGCATTGACGTCATCGGGCCAGGCTGCCGCATGCGCAGTGCGCGAGGTGCCGCCATGTGGGCCCGAGAGGAAGGCAGACGAGACGGATGCGCGGCCGCCATTTTAGCTCAGCGCCGGTCGGACGCCCAGCGCCCCCCCCCTCTCTCTCTCCGCCTCCCCCCCCACCACCACCACACCCCCAAAGCGGGCACAGACATAACGTATTCTCACTTCAAACGTCACAAACGTATATATATATATATATATATAAAAATATTCTCTTGATCAAACCCCGGTCCTCCCTTCGCTCGCGGCGCGGAGGTAACCGAGAAAGAGCGAGAGTGTGAGCTGCGGGCGGGGGGGGGGGGGGTCACGTTACTTCCAACCCACATTAAAAAAATAATCACCCTCTTCCCTCTCCCTCCCCCCCTCCACACAGTCCCCTTTTCTCTCCCACCCGACTCCAGCGGTCGCGGCCATAATGGCGGGCGTCCGTCTTAACGGCCCGGGTCGATCGGGGGGGAGAAAGGAAATGGCGATCGGTGGGGGTGAGGGAATGCCACGGATCGCCCCCCCCCATCAACAGGAGGCGGTAGGGACCGGATAACGGGGGTGGGTGAAGAGATCGTAACCGTACCCTGTCACGAGATGACGGTGGGGCGGGCAAGCGAGTGACGTGCGCGCCAACGGTATCGTGGCTGTGACGGTGGGAGGAGGAAGAGGGGGGGGGGGGGAAGAAGAGGAAGAGGGGGAGAAGAGGGGGGGAGAAGAGGAAGAGGGGGGGGGGGAGAAGGGAGAGGAGTTAACGACCGTTAGGATTAACGGTCGATTGGGGAGGGGGGGCAACGCGAGCGCGACGGAGAGACCGTTGGGCGGGAAGAAAAAAAAAACCGCCTCTACGGGGTCGCCCGAGGAAGCCCCCGCGGGTGAGGTGTGGGACCGACAATGGATGACGACTAAGGGGCGGGAGAAAGCGCCTCTACGGGGTCGGACGCTCGAGGGAGCGCGACCCCCCCCCCCACCACCTCCCTTCCCGCGGGCGGTTGTGCGAGAGGGCGACGGGACCGGTCGGGTCGGGGAGAAAAGAAAGGCCCTGCGGTACGGGGTCGACCGAGGGAGCTCCGCGCGGGCTGTGGTGCGCGAGGCGAGAGCGCGCGCACGCGGGCGCGCGCGAGAGAGAACACGTGACACCCTCTCCTCCTCCTCCTCCGCTCTCCCCCCCCCCCCACTCCACCCAACCGCCGACTCCGAGGCCGCGCGCGCGCGCGCTGCGGCCTCCCCTCACTGCAGCAAACGCCACCCGCCCCCCCCCCCTCCTCCCTACCCAACGGTCCTCGCCCCCCCCCCCCCCCCATCGGGCCGACCTCCCGCTCGCGAAAAAAAACACGGCGTAGAGAGAGCGAGAGAGAGAGAGAGAGAAGGTAAGGAGCGGCGCAGCGGTTCCGCTCGCGTGGTCTCTCTTTTTTTTACACACACACACACTCGACGACGACGGAGGGGAAGAAAAAAAAGAAAATGGCCGCTCGTCGAGAACACGAGGCCCCGCTCGCCGCGGGGTGGGGGGGGTTGGCCGGGAAAGGGTGGCCGGGGGTAGGGGGGGAAGAGAAAAATCACCTCACTCGGGCTTTATTTTTTAAACCGCCGTTCATCGGTCGCGAATGTGAATTACGTGAAAAACGAGGCCTCGGGTCTCGCGTTCCGCTCCGAGGCCGCGCTCGGCGGCGGCCGGAATGACGGGGTGGAGGGTGGGGGGAAAAGGAACAAACCTGAAATCCGCGCCGTCGTCTGACATCGTTTTACTCTTCGGAGCTGAGAGACTTGCAGCTCCCGCCGCGGCTCCTTATATATCCCGGGCGCCTCCCTGGCCCGCCCCCCCGAGCTCGCCGCCCATTGGCCGGCCCGCACGCCCTTCAACGAGGCGCCGCGCCCCATTGGTCGCCACCGCGGTCGCTCACCGCCCGGACGATCCCGGTTGGCCGGCGCCCGGCGGATGCTCCTACCCCCCCTCCCTTTCCCCGCCTCCCTGCTTTGTGATTCGCCGGCGGAGACCAGGAGGGGGGGCGGACGCGTCCTGATTGGCCAACCGGTCCGTCACTCCGCGCCGGCCGGTTTCCTGATTGGACGGCACACGAATGACGTCCCGTTCTCCCCCGCCCGCCCGCCCGCTTGACGTCACCGGCGATGACGTCGGCGCCGGCCGGTCACCAGAGCCTTGAGCGTCAGAGCACTTCCGGTCCCGTTCCCATTGTGTGTAATGGAGGGGGAGAGAGAAAGCCGCTGCTAACGGTTCTCTCTCACGGTGTTGCTCACAAGAGGGCACAACAGCTTCTGGTCCAAAGGGAGGGGCATTTTTTTTGGGGGTAGGGGAGGGGGAGGGAGGAGAGAGAGCAGAGGGGGGGAGGGGGGGGACACGTGATGCTGGACCGGAAATGGGAATTCCCATTCCAGGAGAGCACGTGGTCCCATTCATGTCCCAGAGCAGGAATCCCCCCCCCCACACACACCCATCAAACACACAGTCACTACACTTGGCGGCGAATCCCGTGAGGCGCCTGCCAGCGCTCCCCCCGCCCCCACGCACACACACAGTCACTACACTCGGCGGCGAATCCCGTGAGGCGCCTGCGCGCGCTCCCCCCCCCCTCACACTCACAGTCACTACACTCGGCGGCGAATCCCGTGAGGCGCCTGCGAGCGCCCTCCCCCCCCCCCCCCCCGCACACTCACACGCATACACACAGTCACTACACTTGGCGGCGAATCCCGTGAGGCCGGGGGGGGTGGGGGGGGTTAGAGATTCTCCCTTCCCCACGAGGACAACGGGATGTCACGCAGAGCGTCGGATCGCTGTGGCCCTGAGCAAAAAAAAAAAATCTTTGCACTCGGGTTACAGAGCAGCAATACGTCTCGAGCCCGTGTCTCGGTCTCGTCTCCGTGTCTCGGTCTCGTCTCCGTGTCTCGGTCTCGTCTCCGTGTCTCGGTCTCGTCTCCGTGTCTCGGTCTCGTCTCCGTGTCTCGGTCTCGTCTCCGTGTCTCGGTCTCGTCTCCGTGTCTCGGTCTCGTCTCCGTGTCTCGGTCTCGTCTCCGTGTCTCGTCTCCCGAGGGCCGGATCTCCCGTCCGGCGCCTCGGGACGTCCTCCCGCCGCGAGAGGCGCTCCGTGGACGGAATCTTCTTGTTCCCACATCTTCGAGGCGTCTTCGCGGAATTGCGGGCAAAACGCGGCGGCCAATTGCGCACAGCGGCGTCCCACGGAGTTGGGAGTTGTGGGGTCGCGTGACTTCATTTTTTTTAAAAAAGGAATTATTCCCCCCACCACTCCCCCCCCCCCAAAAAAAAGCCAATCGACCAACAACCAGGTTCCTACTTACTTGTCCGTGTGGGCGGAGTAAGGAAACTCGGCCGACATTTCGCCCTGACCCCGTCCGAGAGTCGAACCCGGGGCTCTCGCTGGCGAGGCGAGGGCTCTAACCGCTGAGCTCTCACACGGACACGCACACGCGCACACGGACACGCACACACGCGCACCAGACAGCGGGGTCTGTGCTCGAGATTCAGACCTTTATTGTGTGAATACAAGAGACGAGACGTCTTGATTTCATACAACAGTGATAGATCGTACACGAAGAATATCCGGCACAAGAAATACAAAAAACACAACACCGCACCCCCCCCCCCCACCCCCCAAAAATGCCAGACAGAGGGATCGAGTAACAACCCATCTCTCCCCCCACTTCCCTCCCCCACCCCCCCCCACAGCCCCAACCCCAACCCCAACCAACGAGAGAGAGAGTCCTGGCGCTCTGTATGGAATCTTGGTCCTTGCACAGCAGGGCCCTGATCGCTGAGCCTCGGGAGAGGATGGGGGGGGGGCGCGGGGTGTGGTGGTGGGGGGGGGGGGCGGCGCAGGGGAACAGCGGGTGAAAACCCCTCTCGAATTCAGCAGTGGGGGAGTGACGGAGAGGAAGCAAAACGTTCGCTTTAACTGGAGTCGGGACCTTTAACAAACACCGAACAACTTCACTTTACGACTTCTTTTTTTCGCCAACGCGACTCAAACCGCCGCCGCCGGTCACCCTAACAACTGTCCCCTCCGCTCGCTCGCTCGAGGAAAAAGGGGGTGGGGGTGGAGGGAAAACCTTCACGTTTAAGACCTGTCAGTCGGGAGAGGGGGAGCGGAGAAAGAGGGGTTCGGGATGAAAGGGGTCCTTCCGCTTATCTCGCGTAACGTTAAAAAAAAAACACGCACAGAGGCGTAAATCAACTGAAGGTGATTCCCGACACCTGTGTTTGCTGGAATGTTTGTCTCTTGTGCAGCCGTAAGTGTCAGAAGTCTCCCCCCTCCCCACTCAAAAACGGCCACAGGGTTCCCACCCCTGTTCACCGCCCTCTCCCCCTCCCCGGTGAGGTTGATGGTTGTGGGGAGAGACGTAAGATAAGGACAAGACTGGTTTTTTTTTTAAAATGATAATAATATCATCATATGGTCGAGACACCTCAAAGCGCCGTAAAGTGGAGTGACTGTGCATTTTGGGAGCGAAACGTGGCCGCCGGTTGCGCCCGGCGACGTCCCGCGGATTGAGCCATCGCATTATTATCATTTTCTCGGGGAGGGGTCGTCACCCCGGAAAGCACTCCCAATCGAGTAGCGACATCGAGCAGAGCCGCGCGGAGTAAGGAAACCCGCCCGACCTGACCCGCCCGGGGATCGAACCCGGGGTCCTCTCGCTCGCGAGGCGAATTGTTCTAACCGCTACGGTACGGGAATCCTCCCCTGCACGCTCCCCGGGTGCGGGCGCGCGCGCGGGCACGGGCGCGCGTGCGTGTGCGTCTCAAAGGCCTATGTCTCGCTGTGACCGAGTACCTGACCGCGTGAGATCGCCCGGCGTTATATACACGGAAAAAAAGCTACAAGTGTTATTTACAAAAGAGAGAGAGAGGAGAGGAGAGGGGGGGGTCGTGGCCACCGTTGTCGGTCCGTTTTGGGTGCGGTGCCCTACGTTGGTCTAACTTCTCTGCCTCGATGAGGTCCAGTGCCCCACTCTGTCCCCCGCCCCACCCCCCCCCCTCCTCCACCACCGGCCGTAGCCACTACAGAGGTCCCCATCATTTTTCTCCCCACTCAAATCCTCTTCCCTTCCCCCCCCCATTCCTCTCCCCCCCTCCTCTTCTCTCCCCCTTCTCATCTCCCTTCCACTTCTCACTATCTCTCCCACAATCTTCTCCCCCCCCCCCCCCCACACACACACCCCCACCAGAGTCTGGCCGCCTGTTGGCCGGACGTTAGCTGTGTCTCGGGCCAGTTTCTTCTCGTGGGGCGATTGCGCTGATCTGAGCCCGTGGGGGTTGGGGGGTAAGGAGGGGTGGGGTGGGGGGGGTGGGAGCTCATTCCCCAGTGCGCTTCTGGTCTCTCCATCGAGGGGGGGGGGGGGCGTTTAATTCAACTCTGTGCCAAAACTTGTACGAGACTTTTCTTCGCTGCCTCTAATAAATAGGAAACTTTTTGAGATCAGTTCAGTTAGATCAGTTGAGTGAGTGGGTGTTTCCTCTATAGGTGGGGGTGGGGGGGGGAAAGGGGGAGTATAATCTATTGTTGGGGGGGGGGTGGTGGGGAAGGACACACTTTATTCTCATTGTCCACTCAATAATAATAATAATAATACTTGATACAGCAGCTTATCATGTTGTTGCAAGGTCTCGAAGCTCTTCGCGGGCGTACGCTGTGAAGTGTAGTGACTGAGCATTTTGCGGGCGCAGCTAATTATGCCGCGCTCCGAGCTTGGCTCAGCCCCGCCGGCGCCTTGGGACTTGCACGTGGCGCCCCGCAGCTCAGCGGTGGGATCGCTCGCCTCGCAGGCGAGAGGACCCGGGCGGTGCGATTCCCGGCCGGAAGGAACCGAGTTGCGGGTCGATGGGCTGATCCAGGGGGTAATAATCTCTCCCCCCAAAAAAGGAACAATAATAGTAATAATAATAAATTGGTCGCTCAACCCCCGACGGTTTGTGGGACGCTGCCGGGCGCAATCGGCCACAAAATACGCCGTCGGTTCACTTTCCAGTACGTTTACAGCCCTTCGAGACGTCTCAACGACCTGATAAGGCGCTTTGTCAAATTGCAAGGAATATTATTAAATAGTCAGGGGGTCGGACCCTTCCTCTCCATCCCTCTCCCCCCCTCTCCGCCCACCCCTCCCTCCTCCCCCCCCCCCCAAAACCGTGAGTATTTAT